GGTCGCGCCCGGGGGGTGGGTTATCTTGCGCGCCCCCCTCCTCGGGAATTGCACCCTGCTCTAGGGGCATTGCACACCGCTACGGGGTTATTGCGCGCTGCTATAGGGGTACCCCCCCCCCGCTATAGGGGTAATGCATCCTGCCATAGGGTTATTGCACTCCGCTATAGGGGTGCTGCACCTCCCCCCCAGCTATGGGGGTACTGCACCTTGCCATAGGGTTATTGCACTCTGCTACAGGGGCACCGCACCCCACCCTGCTATGGGGGTACTGCACCCTGCTGTAGGGTTATTGCACTCTGCTATAGGGGCACTGCACACCCTGCCCCCTCCCCCCGCTATGGGGGTAATGCACCCTGCTATAGGACCACCACACCCCTGTCACCTCCCCAGCTTTTGGGTCATTGCACTCTGCAATAGGACATTGCACCCCATTACCTTTCCGCTGTATGGCTGTTGCACCCTGCTATAGGGGATTTGCACTCCCGCTACCTCCCTGGTATAGGGTCACTGCACCCTGCTCTAAGGGTGTCGCACTCCCATTACCCCCTTCCAGTAGCAGGTCATTGCAGCCTGCTATAAGTGCACTCCCACCAACCCCCACTACAGAGACACTGCATCCCCCTGCTATAGGGGAACCACACCCTGTCATCCCCCTGCTATAGGGGCATTACACCCCCATTCTCCCCCTCCCAGGACAGGTCACTGCACTCCACTGCAGGGGCATTGTGCTCCCACCACCGGGCTGCTCTAGGTGCACCACATCCCTCATCAGGGAGGGCTGAGCCCCCCTTCCCGGGCAGCCACACCACGGCCAGGGCACGGACAACGTCATGGCAGGCCTAAAAACCACCAGCAGCGAGCAGCACCGCTCGCACCAGGACGTCGCAGGCATCCCCCGCATCTGCACGGGAGACCCACTAGCACCTATACATCATCTTGCAGGGGTTCAGCTGATGAACACGTCTACCTTTCCTCTGGTTTATGTTGTCACCATAAATCCTTGGCAAAATACTGTCCCCTGTCATGAAGTTTACTCTTTATAGCTCTCCATTCAAGCATGTGTTATTAATACCCATTACTCCAACAGCAGCTACAGCAAGTTGGACCTAAATCAGGAACAGGAAGGGGGGGGGTGAAGTGATTTTATATAGGCAGCAACCTTTCTACTGCAAGAATCTTTCAGCAGAGGAAACCAAGACCCTTTCCTTCTCTGCTGTAAAGGCTGCTCCATGACACGAGCCCTGGGCACAGCAGGCACAGGGCCAAGGGCTGGTGAGGAGAGTTTAACCTTCCCATGGCCCGTAGCGCAGCCGTCAGCCTGACGGACTCGACTAGGAGCCCTCCGGAGAGCTGGCCACGGTGCAAAGACGTGGTTGCTGCTTCGGAGACCTTGCAGAGATCCCAGTGCAGAGTCCAGGCTGAGTGTGTATGGGGGGGAGGTGGGTTGCAGCACATCTCGCCCAGAAACACAGCAAATGCTGCTTCCTCGTGTGTTTGCGGGAGCTCTGGTGGGGCCCACGCTACTCACTACAGACCCACAGACAGCACAGCCGAGACGTTCTTGGTTGTTAAAGAGCATCAGGGTTCAGTCAGAAAGATGCATCAGTTTTTGCTCCTCTCCAGGTTTCTGGTCCTGCTGGCCAAGTCCCCAGCTCCTGCTCACCATAGCTAGGGGAAGATGACCCAAGCTCCCGCAGACCAGCTCCTGAAGCATCAGGGAGTTTATTCTTGCCCAGTGCCACCTTGTGGCACCCAGCGCAGAGCGCTTGCGCCAGTCCTCGGAGCCTGCCAGGCACCTGCCACACAGAGCACCCATCTCCATCTGGTGCTATGAAGCAGGGCACGCTCAGCATCCCCGTGCCAGTGCAGAGCCCTGTCTCTCCTTGGCAGCAGAAGGCTGTTCGGCTCCATCTTTCTGCACGTTCAGGAGCTGACCGTGCACTGACACCTCTGCCTCAAGCCCCCTGCTAGCACCATCACAGGCATTCAGACAAGGCTGGGCCCCAAGCAGGGACTGCCTCAGGGCACCTTCCCAACTGCCAAGGGGGATGCACATGGGCAAAACAGGCTGCAGAGCCAGTTCCACAGCCAGCTCCGTCATTTAGGCCCTGGCTTGCCCCTAGCACAAGCCTGAGAGCCCCTTGGCACCCACCTCCCTGACAGGCTCCAAACGCAGGGTGCTGCCAGCTCTAATTGCACTCGCACACTTCCTCCTGCCAGGCTGAGCGAGACACCAAGCCATGCTGGCAAGCATCAGCAGGGATGGTGACAGCTCAACTAGAGCTGGGGCTCGAGGGAGCACAGTCATCCAGCCTCAGCACTCCTGCCTTTTGGGCGTGAAAAGGCCCAGCACCCTGCTTGCTCTGCCAGGTGGCATCAAACACTCCCCCTGCAATGAGCAACCCAGGCAGCAGCAAAGGGGCCTGGAGCTCGAGCATGACACCACACACATGCACTGCCATCACCATCGGGAGACGCAGCCCACCCCCTCACCCAGGGCAAGCAGACCAGTCCCTTGGAGCTGCTGCAAATTCAAGGGATGCTTGTACCTTCCTCCTCGGATCTGCTTTGACCAGGAACAAAGACGTGAGGCAAGGACTGCAGCTCTTTGAGACCACTTCAAGTCCGAGGAACCATCCTTTTCACAGGGGAATATTCAGCCAGCACACCCCAGCTCGAGGGGCTCCAGGTGCTACGCTGCAGCTGATAACCTTCAAGCCAACAAGACAATCCAGCTAGCTGGTAGAGGAACTGTCAGCCTCCACTTCCACAGCCCCAGGGCCTGCTGGGGTGTCCTCACATGCCTCCTCACGCACAAGCGCCACTGCACTGTACACGTCTCAGCACTCCTCTTGCAGGGACACACTGCAGCTGCTTCTGCAGAGCGAAGCTGCTGAGGAACATCCCCAGGCACGGCGGCCAGGCAGACAAACCTTCTTCCCTTTTTTGCCAGTCTCAGTACCTCAGCGTCCTTTTGCAGCCCTGCTAGGGGGCTCTCCCAGCATTAATGTTAGCAAAACCTAGAGCTAAGCAGTCTTCTGCTCTGATGTGCAGGCTTGCCTAAGAGCTGCCAGCTGGCTGGGCTGAAGAGACCAAACATGTTAGGTGCTGCAGATATGTGCAATCAGACCATTTGGCAGCTGACAAGAACTTACATTTACACATGCAGAGGGGCTGTCTCTGTCCCCTCGGGTGCCCTTCAGCTGCAAGCTCTCATTGGGACACAGACCAAAACCAGCGAGAACTGCAAGCCAGGTAGGGTAGCTGCTCTTAGCCGGTCCAAGCTGTGCGTGGTAGAAACCAGCCCATTCAGTGCAGTTAGAGGAATATAAATGGTTTCCGTGCAATGCCATTCAGAAAAGACAAACCTGACACTTGAGAACAGTTCAGTTTATTGTACTAAACATGGAGATATCTAGGTGTGAATGGTTCATTTCAGCTCCTTCACAGCCAAACCTAGAGAGGAGAGAAAGACAACTTACCAGATTGAAACACCCTGCTCATTACCCCTGCCCATCTGGCTGGGAGATGAACATCTGCACTTGTCCTGGAGACAGGCTGCTGAGGCTTATCACAAGGTCTGCAAAGGGCCTGCAGCAGGTCTCCCTGCCTGCCTGGACAAGCTACAACTGTGGAACAGGCGGTCAGAGCCTTACGGCTTCCTGTGAGCACTGATTATATTGACATCAGAAAATCAGAGGGGCAAGACCAGCGTTTGCTTGGGCAAATAACGGACTGTAGCAGCAGTTTCAAGCACAAAGAGCAGCAAAAGCAGCAAATCAAAGCAGTAGCCCAAATATGTAGGTGATCCAGAACAGGCAGATGATGTGTGCTGGGGCAAGGCTGCCGGACAGCAGGAGCTCCATACAGACCCCAGCACTCAGGCACTGACCCCTTCACAGGGAGGAGGCTCCCCAGGTGTCCACCTCAGTTCAGACTACCTCCTGCTCTCACACGGTGCAGCTACCGAGACATTTGTCTCTGGCTCCGGTACACCAAACACAGGAAGGATTCACAGTAAAGTCCTTTCTGGCTAACCCCCGAGAACTCTCCCCGAGACATCCTGCATGCCAGTGGATACCTGGGGGCAGGGACTGCTTCAGCTTCTCAGCCTTCTCCTTGTCTGTAATGACCAGGGTGTACAGGTACCTGCTGCAGCGCACCTTGAATTTCACATTGTCCTTGTTCTTCTTGATCTTGACAGCTGCAGGATTAAGGAACAGGTTAGTAGGACAGCAGCAACCCCACACACTCCTAAGACCTCTCACAAGCCATGTCCAGACAGGAGCAGTCTCTGAGGAAGGGTGAACCCCACACATCACACCAGTTCTTCCTCCTTTCACCCGAGCCGGGGAGGAAGAGCAGAGCCCTACCTAGCCTACTTGCACTAAAGAAAATTCAAACTAAGCATTTTTTCTACACCATGAGAACTGCTGTTGTCACTAACAACTACAGCAAAAGCCAGCGTCTTGCAGAGACACTATGCAGGTTTCTCAAACAGCTATATTTTGGAAGCCTTTTTTTCCTTTATAGCCAAAATTTACGACAGGTAGCATGAGTTTATCACATCGCTTTTCCAGTGGAGTGTGACCATTCACACTGAGCTTCAATTCACCATTATAACATTTTGCAAATGAATAGCAGCCTTGGAGCTTTTAATGCGTCTTCCATACAACACAGAACTCTGCAAGGCCACAGCTGGTGCTTTAGATCTCCTTTACGTCCATGTAAAGCCATTTAGCTAAGCAGCTTGCTTCAGAGCCGTGGCTAGTTCTTCTCTTTTCCCACTGCAGAGTACAGAGCCCCAGGAGTTTAGCATTATAAAAGCTGTTAGAGCTGCTGTAAAATCCAGGTTGAAAGGTATAGAAAAGCTTTTTAAAGGGCTGTCATCTGCTATAGCAGTGTTTCAGTATCAAACTATGCCTTTCTCACCTACACCAGTGACTTAAAGCATTTCCATATTTCAAGCACCTCATCCCCATGACAGCTAAATCCAAATAAGCAAATGAACAGCGAAAACTCTGCACATGTTGTTAAATAGAGAGACAAGACGCTTCTAGTTTTTAATAATAGCCTTTGTATTCTCAACAAAAGAAAACTCAAGTTTAAATGTGATTCATTTGTCACGTTCTGTTAAAAACGCCACAGCATCTCATATCTTGTAGCCTTTTACAGACAGGCTACAATACAGCAAGACAAAGTCACGGTTATATTTGCAAATAGTTTCTGATCGGCTGCCACTCGAACACAAGACGCAGACACCCGTGCTCAGCCTGGGCTGGTGAAAAGCCCCTTGCTCCTTCCCCCACAGGGAAGCTTTGCCTCCACATTACAGCCTCCCGGTGGCTAGGATGCTTGCTCCCCGCACAGCAAGGCCAGCTTCAAACATCAGAGACCGCACCCAGGGAAGGGCGCAGCAGCGGGCAGCCCCCAGCGCTTCCAAACCACGGTGCTGCCCAGCTACCCGCGCTGCGCTGCTCCCGCCCTCCAC